ACAGGGTACTCTAAACAATGGAAAAATAGTTGCAGTTAAAAAACTAGCAATTCTCCAATCCGACAGGGCAAAGGCGAATTTCGTAAACGAAGTGAAGCTGATAAGTAACGTTCATCACCGGAATCTCATTCGTCTTCTTGGATGTTGTAGCAAAGGACCAGAGTTACTTCTCATATATGAATACATGGCAAACAACAGCCTCGACAGATTCATATTTGGTACTTTTAGGCTTCTTTTTGCTCAGCTACCTCTAAAGGCATGCTTACATATACATTTTATTGTTTTATTTGTTCATTTAAAGATCTGTTTTTTTTTTTCCTTCTTCCATGGGAAATAGGTCCAAAAAGAGGCTCTCTCTCAACTGGGCTGGCAAGGCTTCTACCATATGATCAGACTCATCTCAGTACCAGATTTGTTGGAACATTGTAAGTTAAAGTACTTCAATTCCCACAGGCATCAACCCCGGCTGGAGATCTATATGATCATTACTCTTGTACGATATTTATACCGGTCTTTTCTTTTGACCTACTTACGGTTCTATCCGCACACAAAAAGTGATATGAATCTACTATATACATGGCCAGTACACTAGGGCGACTCCACTAATTTGATCTTGTGTGACACTGACAGGGGATACACAGCACCTGAATATGCAATTCATGGCCAATTGTCAGAAAAGGTGGATACATATAGTTATGGTGTGGTTGTCCTTGAAATCATAAGTGGCCAAAAGAGCAGTGAAATCAAATCTGATGCTATGGGTGAATTTCTACTTGAAAAGGTAACTTCCAAACTGTATGTATAATTCTTCCCTGAGATTTCTATTCTGCTTAATTACTTTAAAATTGAAACATGTTTTATTTTATTTTATTTCTTTTTCACATTAATGATTAGGCATGGAAACTGTATGAGAATGGCAAGCACGTGGAGCTGGTGGATCCAAATCTGGATCCAAATGAATACAAACCAGAAGATGTAAAGAAGATTATAGAAATTGCTCTGATGTGCACTCAACCATCAGCTGCTCAAAGGCCTACAATGTCTGAAGTTATAGTTCTACTTAAAAGCACTAGCTCCTTGGAGAATAGGGCGCTCACTAGGCCTGTTTTTGTTGATTCTGATAAGAGAGTGAAGGGAGACACATCAACCTCTACTGCTTCCTCCACATCCAACGCCACCGTATCGGTTTCTCAAGTTTCAGGCCGCTAAGTAATAATTAAACCAGTAACTCTTGTACAAAATATTTGGGAGTTTCCTTTGGATGTTTAGTTTCGAAGCAAAGATGTTTTTTTTTAAGTCTACTAGGATTGTTAACAATAGTGATTTCACACTCCTTTTTCTTCGTTTGAATTCCTCTTGGTTTTCATTGTAAAGCACAAATGCTAGTTGTATGTCCCAGAGCCAAACATTTGATGTACTTTAAATCTTTAGTATTCAATAATACTGCACCATTTCCCCATTTGAAAAGCCCGCGGCATGACAAATGAAGAAAGCTAGCAAACAACAATAATAAAGTGGCCCTTACACAATTAACAATACAATTTGGGCCAATTTTCAATGGTGAAGGCATCTTATTATGGTGGGATCATTTGCATCCTCCGGAGCCTTTCTTTTTCGAAATAAGTATAGATTTTAATCATTAAACTAGGAATGTAAACGCTAGATCTGAAAGCAGATTCAAGGATTTCCATAAAAATCATAATCAACATTACGTAGTTACAAACATAGAAGTTCCATCCACAATTGGTACATATACAGCAGAATCAGAGCATCATTGGTACATATGGAAGCAGCTGACCTGGTAAATGGTGCCTAGAATGATACTCGAATATCAAGCAATGTCATCAACTGAGAAATAAGCTCTGGTTGGCCATGCGACGCTGCTGCGGTAACCAGATTTCCATCAGTGACACAACGATCTATTGGATACGCTTCCACAAACATCCCCCCGGACGAAACCACACGAGCCAATTAATCCCAGGGTATCCAGTACATTTCTTCCCCTGAAATATAGCCAATTAATCCAATTATGACATGCTCAAATTTACAGCTAAATTTTTTTAATTTCGGGTTTCAGACTTTCAGTCAATCGCAGGGTTCCATAAATCGGGCTAGGCGGCTAGGCTGCTAGGCCGGCGCTAGGCGGCTGGGCGGGCCTCCTAGGCGGGTTGGGTCGTTTTTCGGTGCTGAACCCGGAGGATGAAGCTGCCGAAACTGAAGAAATTGAAGCTTGAGTTGATGGAGAAGCGGAATGGCTGTGACTGCGATCCGTCCTCTGCGAGGTGCAAGCTTCGTGTTAGTTTCGAATATATTTAAAGAGTATAGCCGGCCGGCTATACCCTTAAAATATTCGAATATATTAGTATTTAACGAGGCTATATGTTTAAAATGTTCGAATGTATTTAGAGAGTACCGCCGCCCGGCTATTGTCACATCCCGGATCGGCTCTGCCGTAGCACGATATTGTCCGCTTTGGGCCCCCCCTCTCTGGCCCTCACGGTTTTGTTACCAACTTCCCAGTGGGTCACCCATCCTGGGATTGCTCTCGCCCCCAACTCGCTTAACTTCGGAGTTCCTACAACTCCGTAGTCAGTGAGCTCCCAAAAGGCCTCGTGCTATATGGATGCGGGTGTGTACATATAAGGCACATCACCCACTCTCCGTTGGTCGATGTGGGATCTCACAATCCACCCCCCTTAAGGCTCTGCCGTAGCACGATATTGTCCGCTTTGGGCCCCCTCTCTCTGGCCCTCACGGTTTTGTTTATGGGTGCTCACGACCAACTTCCCAGTGGGTCACCCATCCTGGGATTGCTCTCGCCCCCAACTCGCTTAACTTCGGAGTTCCTACAACTCCGTAGTCAGTGAGCTCCCAAAAGGCCTCGTGCTATATGGATGCGGGTGTGTACATATAAGGCACATCACCCACTCTCCGTTGGTCGATGTGGGATCTCACAGCTATACTCTTTAAATATACAATTTTGTCATATGATTTTAGGGTTTAGGGCTAAAACACCACTTTAGCCCATTGGTCTACAGCTATTTCTTCAAAATTTTATTTTATTTTATTTTTTATACAAGCAATATTGGGGAATGAGAATTTAAATTCTTTCTGATACCTTCCATTCAAATCTGTAAACTGTTGCTACTGGGGTGTGGATGAGGGTGAGGGTGAGGGTGAGGGTGGCTAGGCGAGAGCGAGGAGGCTGGGCGGGCCTCCTAGGTGGGTTTGGTCTTTTTTGGGTGCTGAACCCGGAGGACGAAGCAGTCGAAACCGAAGAAATCGAAGCTTGAGTTGACGGAGAAGGGAAATGGATGTGACTGCGATCTTTCCTCTGCTAGCGAGGTGCAAGCTTCGTGTTCATTTCAAATATATTTAAAGACTATAGCCGCGCGGCTGTTCTCTTAAAATATTCGAATATATTAGTATTTAAAGAGTATAGCCGAACGGCTATACGTTTAAAATATTCGAATGTATTTAGAAAGTACAGTTGTGCGTCTATACTCTTTAAATATACGATTTTGTCATATCATTTTAGGGTTTAGGGCTAAAATACCACTTTAGCTCATTGGTCTACAGTTATTTCTTCAATTATTTTTTTTATACAAGCGATATTGGGAAATGAGAATTTAAATTCCTTATGATACCTTCCATTCAAAGTTGTAAAATGTTGCTACTGGGGTGTGGATGAGGGTGAGGGTGAGGGTGAGGGTGAGGGTGAGCTAGCCATCAAAAGGGAATCTGGATGGTTCAATTCCCCAAGTCTTCTCCGCGTAGTCTCGGATTGTTCTGTCGCTACTAAATCTCCCCAACCAGGCTGTGCTAAGGATGCTCATCTGAGTCCACTTATTTGGATCCACAAATGCTTTATCAGCAGCAGCATGTAGTCATATAAATTCAAATCCCACGCACCATAGTAAGCTATACAACACCAAACTCAAAATGCATATATATGCTTTGGGTTGGGACTGCCAAGTGAACATAAATAATTACCTGAGCCTCTAAATAGCTCTCAAAATCAGAACCAAGCAAATAGAAGTCTTTACCACCGTCCACAGTATCACATAGAGATTGAAAATATTCTTTGCGAGTCTAAGCTCTGTCCTCTGCAAGTGCAAGCTTTGTGTTTGTTTGAAATATATTTAAAGAGTATAGCCGCGCGGCTATAAGTTTAAAATATTCGAATATATCTAAACGGTATAGCCGCTCGGCTATACCGCATTTAAAAATTTTAAAATTTTGAATGTGGTTCAGAGAGTTGTCATGTTGAAGTTCTATGAGATGCAATGCAGGTCTCAGTTTCATATCAAAGGAGTTCAAGGATCTCTCCAAGTTATTGTTAAAGCATCATCAATCTTTGAGTTTGAAGTTCTTTCTATTCTCTCTAAGTTTGAAAGTGTACTCCATTTCTTATAGTACTTATCAACTGTTGAAATGTATTGCATGTTAGTTGTGTTTGAGTCTTGTTGTTTCTCTGTCTCTCGTTGTCTAATTAATATACCAAAATCACAAAAATCAAGTTTAGTATTGTTCTAAAATTTAGTCCATCTTCTACATGCTGCATGTCTCATTTGAAAGACAAGTTTCTGCATTACAGTACATAACTTCTGACTCTTGTATTACCTCACAAATGTTCATGCACCAACTGGCAAGCTTGCTCATCAATACCCACAACAGAACATACATTTAAATTTACAATCAACTACATATATAGTGAGTTATAGAACAAATAAATCAACAGATTATCTGTATTGTCTTTTTGGTTAAACATGTTTAACTTCCCACACAAAATTAATTTTACTCTAGCATTTTAGTTGATGTTAAAAAGCGTAAGAAGTTAAAATTGTATATATGTATATCTACCATGGAAATGCTATAATGAGGGGTTGTGGGCGAGGGGTTCAATACCACTATCCAATAATATAAAGGAAATTTTGAACTTAAACTTTTTTAATGATTGGATGGTTGGATGGTTGGATTGAACCCCTCACTCAAAACCCCACATTCACATCCCCCTCATTGTAGCCGCTCCCATATCTACCATATCATGCTTGGACTTTAAATTCCAAAATTTATAATCTCGATTTTGGATTGTTATTGAGGATCTTGCGTCCTTGTTTGTAATAGAGATGGCACCGAATCAGCACAAAATCAGCAACTCCAATCTCTGTTTAGTTTCCCTTTATTGTGATATTGTAATCCCATGTACTTGGAGACCAAGTACCCACCACTTGTATAAATATTCTAGTTCTATGTGAATACAAATCATCCAATTTCAAACCTAAGTGAATCTCTGACAGTTTGTGTGCCTAACAAATTAACTTTATATTATTGTTTCTGCATTTTGTACACTTTCAACGCACTTAGTTTCAGAAATCAACTTGGACTTTAGATTGAAATTCTGGACAGCATGGGATCCATCCCTATTAAAAGATGAGTTATGGATACAATAAAACTACACTGCCACCTAAACAGGGATTACAGCTTCACTTCGTTTCAGTTGAACCGAATTATTGGAGCAAATCCTTTGGTGGCATCACTTGGAATTATAGAAAGTCAGTAATATAATATTTGTAACAATATCAATACTATGTTTGACGTTGCACAGAATTGAAACGATAAGGAAATAGTCAGATTTGATTGAGAAATTTAAAGAATATGGACCAAATTGAAATTCGGATCAAATTTCTGGAAATAAATTTCTCAAAAATAGAACATTTTAAAAGTATAGCCGACCGGCTATATTCGAAAACAGAAGATCTTAAATCTATAGCCGCGCGGCCATACTCGAAAATAGAACAATTTAAAAGTATAGCCGCGCGGGTTTACTCTATTAGAAGATCTTAAAAAAATACAGTAAATAGAACAATATTGTTGGAGTTGAGAAACATCGGTAGTCATTTTCCCTCCCTCTGGAAATTGAAGATTTTAAGGTGTGATAAATTGTCAAGCTTGCCGAGTGGTCCTGTCCGCGAATTGCAGATTGAAGCTTGTGATGAACTATCAAGCCTACCGAGTGGGCTAGAAAACTTGACCTCGAATAACTGACTGTCCTTATCTAGAGACTATTCCAAGCTTAGACAACCTCAAATCCCTCCGTCTATTGTTCATGGATTGAAAAATATGATGCATGGAAGTCTTTCTCCTCTAATAGAGTGGACTCCTCTAATGCATGGAACCCACTTGTTGTATTAGAGAGGTGTCAGCAATGTAATAAATAAATGTGGTAAAAAAGAAGCAAATATACACATGGAGGCGAGACTATGTAAATATAATGCATTGCGTCATGGATGATGTTGTCTTTTAACATGTCTTGATTCCATTGGCCGCAACATATAATATATAAGAGCTCACCTCCCAGTCTTCATATATAATGTGTATGTTTGTTAATTAAGCAACTACCTTGTCTTTAATGGTAGGTTAAGCTACGCAGGCACTGAAGA